CACACAAACACAAACACTCACATAAACACACTCACATAAACACACTCACACACACTCACACACACGTTTGTGTTCTAATAAACTTTGACCACATCCCCATCCCTGTGGACAGAGGGGTGGCAACCTGCAAGCATGCTGAGGTCAGTGGGGCCGGCAAAAATGTGCAGCTGGGGGAGGGAGAGAGGCTTTCCCTTCCTTTAGCACAGAGTCAGGCTGCTCCACCGCTCAAGCATTTATTGGATGGGGAGAAGCCACAGATGGTGCACGCAGCACTCCCCACCTGCAGGAAGGGCTTTGATCAGGTTTCACACCTGAGATGTGCTGCTCTGGGAGCTCCCTGGGGACCCAGGGCATGACTGCCAGCTCCCTCACCTGGGATGGGCCCTGACAGACTCATTCCACAGCCATGGGGCTCCGAGTGCTGTGCCTATGCCTATGTGCCTGTGCTGTTCAGGCTGGCCCCTGAACCCCTGTCAGTACAGCCTGCACTCCACACACCCCAGAGAAGCCAAATTCCACCAACGCAGAGGCAGCAAGGTGACATCAAATGTGCTCATTCCACAGCTCCCCCACTCCATTTTCCCTCCAAAAAAAGCACAAATGCCCAAAACTCCCTGCAGAATCCACCCATCAGTATTTAGGCTAAGAACACATGGGTTGTAATGATTTGTCTGACATTGTTTTCCAGAGAGTTCCCCTCTGGCCTTGGTGTTATTGCTGTGTTTCTTGCTCTCTCAGCAGTGGGGTGCCCGGGGTGATGGGGACTCCAGCCTGTATTGGTGGAGCTGCCCACAGGCTGGGGACAATGAGTGGGTAACTCACAGTGCCCCATGGGATGCTCTTCCTTCACTTTGTTAAGTCTAAAAGGTAATTTAATTATTAAAATACACATTGGGAAGAGCTTCAGGTTGAGCAGGCCAAGGACAAAACCCTCCCAGACTCTATGGCAGTGCTGAGTCTGGGGACTCAGAGCACCTTCACTGCTTGGTGAAGGTGTGACTCCTGGACACAGCTTGGGACAAGTGTCCCTGTCTGTCCCCAGGATGCAGGCAGTGCTCTGGGGGGGCACAGAGGCACTCAATTAGGGTCAAGCTCACCTTTCTGGGATGTGACTCCTCTGGGGCAGCGGCATCTACTTCTGGGCAAGCAAGGGCTGCTGGGCACAGAGAGATGGCCCCCCAAACACTGCTCCACAGTGCAGGCATGCTGCCCGCAGCAGCCACCCAGCACGAGCCATCCTGCTCACGAGCACAAAGCATGCAGGGGACGAGGACACCAGGTCACAGAATGTCCCCACGCTTACTCCACCCTTCCCTACTGTCACTCGGGCTGCAAATGGGGTTTTATTGCATCCTGTTTTGCACATGGCAGGGCTCTGGCAGGCCGTGTCCCCCTAGCTCTGGCTGGCTGGGCTGTGCTGGGCAGGGTGGGCACAGCTCTGCCCGCTCCCAGCTTTGGCCACCAGCTGTTAACGCCAGGGCTTTATGCTCCTTATCACCAGGACGTGGTTTATTCCCAGGAAGGAAGCCAGGCAAGAGCACGCTATTAAAATGCTCCAGTGGCCTTTGCAACGGGAAGCCCTCGGGCTTTGCCAAGCAGATGCCTCAAATTAAGGAAGGGGGATGCAAGGAACGGCCTTTAAGCGCCAGGAGGCTGCCCCAGTGCCCCACATCGCCTCCCTCCCCCCTCACCCTCCCTGGGGGGGACCCTGGGCTGAGCAGAGGGGAGCGTGGTGCCCCCCCCGTTGCGTGGAGCAGGCAGGAAGGGCAGATTGAGTTATCTCCTGTGCTGGGGGCCAAGGGCTGGCACCCGGCCCAGCGGCAATTACTGCAGCAGCAATTACTGCAGCGGCAATTACTGCAGCGGCACGGTGCGCAGCGATGATGCCACGCTGCAGGAATGGCAGGGGTGGCTCACCTCTGTTCCTGGGGCTCCCGAGGGCTGCCAGGCTGGGACTGGGCTCATTCAGCCGTACCCTGCAGCCAGTTCTCCCAGCCCCGGCTGTGCACCCCAGAATGTGCTGCTCTGGATGTTTCCCCTCCCGGCTGCAGACAGGGAACTTCTGCCTTGCAATAAGCGTGGGGACATTCCTGTGACCTGGTGTCCTGGTTCCCTGCATGCCTTGTGCTCGTGAGCAGGATCGAGCTCTCATTTCTACCACACACTGCACATTCCTGGTCTTCCCGGTCACAGAGGGAAGCCTGAAAAGGGACCTGAAGGTGAAAAGAAAACGAGTCCCGTGCCTATCCCTCTCCCAGGGGATTGTAGACAGCTATGGTGGTGGGATGTAGTGTGGCACTTTCCAGCCTCTCCTCAACCAGAATTCACTTCTCTTTCCCCAACTACAATATTTATTTCTCTCTGAAAAATGTGCCTCCTGTCGTTGTCCTGCCCTGTGATACCCAGGCAGTAGAACACAGTCCCTGCCACACTGTGACAGCGGTTTCTTCCCACTGCACTCACTCCTCCTGGCCCCCATTTGCCCTGGGCTCCCAGTTGCCCTGGTAGATCCTGAGATTGCAACTTTTGGTAAGCTTCCCTCCCTCACATCCCAGGTGCTGGCTTGGACTCCCAAAGCTGGGATGCTCACACATCTCTGTCACCTGCTCTGTTTCTCTTCTCCAGCCTTGGCTCTGGGTCAGGGTTTGCTGTTGCTCTGCTTCACAGAAGAACCCTAAAGCCCCAGCACCCATCTAGCACTCAGGGAACCCCCAATCATATTTCTCCTTGCAGACCCCCATTAGCTCTGCTGCCTGTGCCTGCTGATCATCCCATGGGATTTCCACACGAGGACAGCCACCTGCCACCCAGCTGCTTCTACTGCAGCATGCAGGGAGCTCCCACTGCCCTCAAGTGACCTTGTTTGGGGCCTGATGGGTATTAATCCGTGCTCACCAGGCCACTGGGTGAACAGGCCAGCTGGTACTTGAGGGGTGGAGAGGCATGAGGGCAGCAAAGAGGGAGCTGCTCCTGGACAGATCCGAACCAGGGCTAGAGATGCAGGGAGAGCTGAAGCCTGTATTGCAGCACAGGAGAGCAGCTGGTGCGGAGGGAAGGTGATCCTGGTCCCCAGGGCCACTGCCCGACCGGGTACTGGAGGATGTGGCTCTCCTGTCCCACGCTCCCAGGCGCTGCTGCAGGAGGCTGGCACGCAGCATCCACCCCGACGCATCCCTGCGGCGCAGGGCACGGGCAGGCTGGCGATGGCCCGGGTTCATTGCGATGCTGAGCTCCTTCGCAGGGAGGGGACGGAGAACGGAACTGAATATTTAATGCTGACAAAGTGCCTTGATGCTGGTGGCTGGAAGGCGCCAGGGAGGGACGGGAGCCGTGATCAGGGTACTGCTCACTGTGCACAGCTCACGCAGGGCAGGGTGGCACCGGTGTGTCCTCTGCCTTGGTGTTCTGTACCCTCAGCTGATGAGGGCGGATTTATGGGTCTACAGCCCTGTTTTGCACCCAGCAAGAGCACCATGGGGTAGAGTAGTGGGGCACAACAGGGGCTGGGGGTTGAGGATGGCACCAGGAACTGGTCCCAGCCCATTTGCAGGTGAGCTGTGCCCTGGATTGCTGCTTGGAATGGTTTCCCTGGAAGGATATGGGGGGGAGGGGGGCAATACAAGCCCTATGCAAGGGGAGATGTTTTGGTTGCACCCACCTTAAAGAATGAGTGGTGCCCAAAGTCAGAATGACCTGGGAATGACTGGTGTGTAGTGGGAGGTGGAAGAGACAGGGCTGTCATTTCCAGGACAGGATAAACCTGAAAAGGGGGACAGAATAAAAACCAGGTGGAATATGAGGGAAGGAGTCAGGAATGCCATGGGCTTCAGAGGACAGGATGACAGGATGAGGCCCTTTCATGGGGCCCATGGCAAGAGGGCTGGGCAGGGCCAGGGAGCAGCATCCCAGCTGCCTCCTGCATTCCCAGCCACACATGCCTTCCAGTGCCAGCATTCCCTCCATTTCCCCTCCCTAGGCCACTTGGGGCCATACCCATGGGCACAGGGGCCAGGACAGGGCAGTGGAAATCCCAGGCTCTCTTCCCAGCCCTGATGTTGGTTTCAATGTGGCCAGTGACTGGGGCACATCTGGGACTGAAGTGCTGGGGAGAGGAGGAAGAAGAGCAGAACCACTCTGTCTGGGGACCCTGCTGCTAGTGCCCAAGGGGGGTCCAGTCCAGCCCCTCTGTGGGCCAGGGCTGTGCCCCTGCCGTGCACTGCAGTCCCCTCTGCTTGCCCCCAGACTCACCCCTCTGCCCTCACACTGAGAGAAAAAACAGAGGACACAGCCTGGATGTACAACATGAGTGCCAGCTGTGTGTGCCAGATGTGTGCGGCCCCACATGCACACTCACACCCCCGAGCCACACACAGGCTCCCACGTACATCCCCTGGTGCTGATGTGCACACGTGTACACACTTGCACACACTCCTGCTGTCACACCCCCACAGCCTGGCACCCTCTCGGCCACGCCAGCAGACACGGTGCCACATGTGCAGACACACACCTGCACTGCCACACCTGAGCACAGGGCCACCTGTGCCGGCTGTCCTGTCACCACGCACCCACATGCCCATCCCATGTGCCATGTGCTCTCCCATGTGCCACATCACATGTGCACAGACTGCCACAGCGGTGCCCCACTCCTGTGCACACGTGGGCACACAGGGGTGCACACACAGCCCCTCACAGCATCCCTGCACAGCAGCTCTGGGGAGCACCGCAGCCAGCTGAGCCCCGGACACGGCGGGTGCTTCCAGCGGGCTGAGCCCGCCGCAAACTCATCACACGTGGACTCGGGACAGGTCTGACATGACACCCTCGCCAGCCACAGCCCGGGCACGGCGGGGGATGCCCGCGGGGTGGGGACGCCGATGGGGCGGGGGGCACCGGGAACACGCGTGCCCGGCCGCGGGGCAGGGGCGGACGGGGCTCTTTGTTCCTGCCTCCGCCGGTCCTCCATGATGTGGAGAGGGCGCGGGTGAGGCCGGCGCTGCGAAATGGCGGCCGGAGGGGCGGGCCCGGGGGAGGAGGAGGAGGAGGGGGAAGGGGAAGGCCGGGCGCCCTCCCCGCGCTCGGCGCCGCGCACACAAAAGGCTGCAGGGAAAACACGGAGGGCAGCGGGGCTGCGGAGTGGCCTCGGCGGGGACCTCCTGCCCGCCTCTGCCCTCCCAGCTCTGTGTGACCGCTGCCCGCACACCCTCGGCAGGTCCCCGTGTCCGCACCGCATCCCCGTGTCCCGCACCGCATCCCCGTGTCCCGTCCCGCATCCATGTGTCCCGCATCGCATCCCCCTGCCCGGAACCGCATCCCCGTGTCCCGCACCGCATCCCCGTGTCCCGTCCCGCATCCATGTGTCCCGCATCGCATCCCCCTGCCCGGAACCGCATCCCCGTGTCCCGCCCCGCATCCCTGTGCCCGCGGGACCGGCCCAGGTTGGGGGGCGGTCGGGGTGCGCGCCCAGTGCTGGCGCGTCGGGACGGTTCAGTTCTGCTCAGCACAGCTCAGCTAAGCACAGCCCAGCCCAGCTCCCGTCGGGACGGCTCGGTTCTGCTCAGCCCAGCCCATCTCCCGTCGGGACGGCTCGGTTCTGCTCAGCCCAGCCCATCTCCCGTCGGGACGGCTCGGTTCTGCTCAGCACGGCCCAGCCCAGCTCGCGGCACAACCGAGCGCAGCCGTCGGCAGGGTGCCGCCGGTGCCGGGGCTCCCGGCCGTGCGTGTCCCGGGATTTCCCAGCAGAGCCGTGCTGCGGCGGGCGGGGAGTCCGGGCACAGGGCGGTTTTGTGCCGGGCTCTGTGTGTGAGGGGGTGACACGGCCGAGCACTGGCACCCCAGGGCCGGAACCTCCCGGGCAGCGAGAGCTTTTCCCAGCCGCGTGTCAGGAGCACGCGTGGCAGCGCTGTGCCCGCTCCCTTTGCCCGTGGGGATGGGGCCGTTCCTGGGGCAGAGGCAGGCGGTCGGGAGGGGACCCGCCGGGCTTCCACAGCAGGTCTGGGCTCCTCGGCAGGTAGAGCCGGTTTGGAGGAGCTGCGGGGCCGGGGAAGCTCCCGAGCCTCCCGCCCGGCCCGGTGGCAGCTCCCCGGGGCACACAGCACCCACGGGGAACTGGTGGGGAGCCTGGGAGTGACCCATACACGTGAGGCAGACCGTCAGGGTGTGGGGATAGAAGCCAGTAGAGCTGGGAGAGGGATGGGCCAGGAATTGCGGCTCTCCCCCTCTACAGTCTTCCCTCTCATCTCTGCCGCTTCTGCGTGTGCTGAATTTGTTCGGTCTCAGCCTCATGAAGTGAGGATGGGGACACGCTGCAGCCCCTACCCCACGCCTGCAGGTGTGAGTCGAGCATCTCACATTCTGGGCAGGTTTATTGTCGCTGCACTCAAAAATATGTAGACACAATAGGGGATGGGGGAGCTGCCCACCTACCCAAATCATACACAGACCCTGCAGCTTTTCTGACCTGTGCCTGCTTCCCTGCCAACAGCCCAGACCCTGCAGCCCAGCCCCCTCCTCCAGCACCACCGAGGTGCTGATCCACCTCCTTGATCTTCTCCAAGAAAGCGTTGGCACAGGCAGGTGTCAGCGTGGCTGTCACTCTCCCCTGGCTATGGTGGGGGGCTCTGCCTGGCACAGAGGGAGGTGTCCCCTCCTGAACCCCCCCGTGTCCCTGCGTAGGGAGCAGGTTTGTGTCCCCAAAGGTGACACGGAGGCAGGGCACCATCTGGTGGTGCCTGGGCACAGCACACGCCAGCCCACACGAGCGCTGCCCACCCACACGCGCTCCCAGTGAGGCCCCATGAGCTGTGCACACACGTGTGTGCCCCAGTGCCCGGAACTCGTGTGTGTGTGTGCACACACGTGCCCAGAGCGCACACACGTACGCACAACCCCACGTGTTAACGCACACCTCCATGTTTGCACATGCACTCGCCCACGCATGGCTGCAGGCACCCGCAGGTGGGGTGGGTGCCCCACTGCCCCGCCAGGTGAGCCCATGGGTGCTGGCACAGCCCTGAGGGGAGCACGAAGCTCAGTGGGCCACCTGTGCCATGCGTGTGCCATGTCTGAGCACGCACACACAGGTAGGTGACGTGTGTGCATGCAGGGGAGCGATGCTGTGCCCTCTGAGTTTCAGCCGGGCAGGCAGCACTGAGGAGGTGAGCACAGGGCATGCCTGCTGGATTCCCTGCTCCTCTGGGGCAGCAGGGCTGGACTGGTCTTTATTGCTAGCACGGATCTCCCTCCTTGAACCTGGGGAGTCATTTTCAGCTCTGTCCCACATTCCCTGGGAGGACCTTGGCCCTGTGAACCCTTCCCGCTTGCCCAGGGCATAGGCTGAGGTGACCACAGGTGTGGGACATCACGGTCCATGGGGAGCGAGCACAGGGCCCTTCCTGGGGCTCCGAAGCCCGCCAAGGCAGCGGCCGCTCTCCAAGGGGTGTGTTCGGCTGCAGAGGTTTTGGCCGCCAGCCTGGCTCACACAGCTGGAGAGGGAAGAGCTAAATTTAAAGGTGTCGGGGGGGCTGGGTGAGGCTGGCTGGCGCAGGGCTTCTCCCTGGCCGCCTGCACGGGAGGCACGGGCGTGTTTGCGCCGCCGCGCCCTTTGTTTCACTGGGGAGGCAGAGGCCTGGCGGGAGAAGCGCCGGTTTCATCAGCGGGAAATGAGGCCGAGGACTGAGCTTGAGCAGTGCCATGTGCCCCAGCAGGGACATCCCTGCCCCAGCACAGCCCTGACCTGCTGTATGCACGCACCCCCAGACCCACACAGGGTCTAGCAGCTGTACTGTTCACACCCAGCGAGACACGTGTCCGCTCGCACAGCTGGACACGCGCACAGCTGGACACACTGACCCCCCCCCAGACTCCTTCACCTGGGGCCAGCCCCTCCCACATGCACCCCACAGCCCTGATCACACCATTTTGGGGTAATAAAAGTACTGTTTGAGGGTATTTATAACTTTTATTTAAAAATCCCTTTCCCAGATAATTTTCAGGACTGTAATCCAGGCACGAGGTGTGTGTGTAAGCCTCTTGCAGGCTAGAGATTTAAGAAAACTAGAGATTTAAGAAAACCAATAGCAGGAAAGCAGGGGCTCCATCAGGCTCTGAAAAGTGATTTTGACTGCACTGGCCCCCATGGTCAGTGAGAGCACCCAAACTTTGGGGAGCAGGGAGGCATCGAGCCAGTGGGGTGTCCATGATGCCACCCCAGCACCTGCAGGTACTTAGGCAGCTATGTGGGTGCTCCCACCCCCCAGCCACCAGACTCGGGACCCGGCAGGCGCCAAGCAGACTTGGGAGTTTGCTAAAATGAAAATAGAAAAAAAGCCTGGGACGTTATCCAAAACTGCTGAGTGTTAATTAATTCATCCCTGTGATGTGATCTGCCCTCGGCCCCAGAACATCCTAACATAGTCACAGCCGCGGCCGCCCACCCCAGCCTCCCTGCTGGCCACAGCCTTATTTTAGAGAAGAGGTGGTGCAGCTGCTCTCCCAGCCCTTGAACACCCATGGGTGCTGAGAAGCTTGAGATGTGGGTCGTGGAAGGAGGGCAGCTGTGCCAGTGTGTGTGTGGCCTTGACTATGGGGCCACAGCCACATCTGCCCTACAGCAGCCTGCCAGATCCACAAAAAAGCAGCCTAAAGTTCCCATGGGAGCTGGGACAGCACAACAGTGGAACACCCCATCACCCCTGAGAGGTTGGATGGAGTCCCACTCATCCTTTGTTCCACCCCCAAGGTGAAATGAGAGCATCAATATGCTGGGTCTGGCAGCAGTCAGGTGCTGACACCTCCCCCGAGGCTCAAGCAGAGCTGCTTCATTCCCCCATGTCTCACCACCACTGTGACCCCAAAACTCGTCCTGCTCCTACACCCCATTCTCCTTCAATGGGACAAGTGGGCCAGGCACAGCACCCCAGCCTGGCCCTTGGCACAGAGTGCAAAGCAACTCCTTCTGCCTCTGCCTGCTCCTGTCTGACTTTTTATCCCCGAGGTCTGGGAATAAGGGCTGTGGTAATGCTGGCGAGCTGGGACTCTCAGGGTGTGACTCTCTGCAGTGGGGATGTCCCAATGTCATGGGGCTGGGGACAGTGATGCCACCTTGCAGTTTTCTCCACAAGTCCCCATCTCCTGAAGTCCTGAGATGGGAGCAAGTGAAGTCAAGCCCAAGCTTTGCCCTGGGACAGGCTATACCCCATAAGTGAGAGTGGGGCTGGCTTGGGGGGCATCAGCTATTGCTTTTGGGGCTGGGGGTGGGCAGGAGGGAGGGGGAGGCAGGGGCGAGGGGAGCAGGCAGTGCTGTGACTCAGCCGGGGGTGGCAGCGGGTGAGGTGTTTGTGTTTAGTTTCTAACGTTACGGTTTCCACAGCGCCGGGAAGCAGCCCTGGGGGGCCATGGGGGCCCGGCGACACTGAGGGCGGGATGGGGCAGCAGCTGGACCGGAGAAGCTGTTCTGTAGCTAAGGCCACAACAGCTAAAAATACTGCAGGCCATTGTCACCAGCAACAAAGCCACTGGCGTATTTTCAGCATTATCTCGGTTGCCATCAGCTCTGCCGCCCTCCCGGGAACTGCTGTGCCCACTCCACCCGGGTACTGCTCTCCAAAGAGTTGGACAGGGCCTCCCCTGCCCCTGGGTGCAGCCACTGTGCCTCAGTTTCCCTCCTGCGCTCTGTTCTATGGTGCCACCCCCATGCCACCGCTGTCATCCAGCTTCTTTCACCCCACAAAGAGCCCTGAGCTGCCACACTCGTCCCCTTCACATCCACGGTGTCCCCTGCCCCTAATGAGTGCCTGGGGACACGTGGCTCACAGGACAGCCATCTCCATCCAGGCAGCTCCAGTCTAGCCCAGGCAGCTGAAAGCGAACAGCAGAGACTGGAAGCAATGAGTTGGCTGAGTGTCACCAGGAGATTGGTGACAGCCCCTCCTCCCTGCTGGGCACCAGCCCTCCTCCTTGGCTCATTCCAGCAGGCAAAGCCAGGAAGGCTGCTGGGCTGCCCAGTCCAGCCATGCTCAGCAGGGAGCTGTCATTGCTCGCCCTGGGTGAGGCGAGTTGGCGCAGTCTCAGCACAGAGCCCGGGTGGCCAGGGAGGGCTGTGCCAGGCTGTGCAGGCACTGCCAGCAGCTGGGCACTGCCCCAGCCCCAAACCACCAGGATAACACTGGATTTGTGCAGATTTTCCCACTAAAACAGGCAGTGAGGGGGGTTTAACTTGCCTTTTCCCTGCCAGAGCAGCTCAGCTTCCCTTCCTTCCATCGAATCATTCTCCACCATGGAGAGAACAGATCAGCATCAGCTCGTCTGCAGCAGCTCAGGGCAGGGACAGGGTGGTGGCAGTGACCCAGAACTGGGCTCAGGAGGTGGGTGGCCAGAGACAGGTTGGATCTGCGGGTGGTCCGTGGCTGCCCATGGGTGCTTTGCTGGGTGGGGGGCACAGCCAAGGCAAGAAAAGACTCCGTCTGGTGGCGCGTGGGTTTCTCAGCACAGCTCTAAGCTGGGACTGCTGTGGCCCTGCTGGGACCTCTCCCCAGCCAGTTGGGAAGTTTAGGACCAGGGCCAAGCAGGAGGGACTGGTCACCCCTTCCCTGTGCTCCTCAAGTACCTGCTGAACCTCCCTGTCCTCATAACAGCCCCAGCATGTCCCATAGTGCACCCTTTTGGTTTGCATGGGGGGTGGCTCTGCACCCCTCTCCCCTGCCCCGTGCCCCCTTGACATCCTACCCCACTCTCATCTTGGGCTCTTACTTGCTCCAGCTGCAGATCCTTGACAGAGCAATCTCTCCCTACAGCACAGATGGTTCCCCTATGGCAAGGGGAAAGGGAGGTGAGACCTGCTTTGTGAGAGGCAGGGAGCCCCACTTCCCTGGGGGAAGACACACGGATAGGGCTGTGTCTGTGGTGGGACTGAAGGCTGCTGCTGGGGCATCTGTGGCTGGGGTGGGGGGAGAGTCGATCATCTACACCCCAGAAATGGGAGACCCCACCAGCAGCACCCCTGGAAGCAGAAACTGAAGAGTGAGTGGCAGAAAGGGGTCCGGTAAGAGCAGAACTCTGCACGTAGGTAGAGGGGGATGCTGGGGAGCAGAGACCAGGAACACGGGGGACGGCATTGTTGTGGGGGGAGCTGCGGGGGCCAGGCAGACCTTGCAGGAGCAGATATTTGGGGCGGGGAGCTGGGGAGACCTGCAGCGAAGTGGGGTGTGTGAGACCAGATCCGCCGCTGCAGTAGGGATTGAAGGGCGGGGGGGAACCGGGGTGCTTCCTCAGCCTTAGTGCTGGTCCCCGTTCCCCGGCAGCGGGGCGGGGAGCACGCAGCCCCCCGGCCGGGCCCCGCGGTGGCGGCCCGGGGGAGCAGGAGGCAACGGCGCGGGGCGGGGAGGAGCGGAGGAGAGCGGCGGCACCGAGACCGGTCCCGGCGGCCCGGGCACCGCGGTGGGTCGGGACCCGGCGGGCTCCGGCAGTCCCAGCCCCGCGGCGGCTCCGGTACCTTTGGGCGGCTCCGCAGCCGGGCAGCTCGGCACCTCCCGTACCCGCGGGCGGCTCCGGTGCTCCTGGCAGGCTCCGGTGCCCCGGGTGGCTCCGGCACCATCGGAAGGCTCCGCTGCCCCGTGGCGGCTGCGCAGCCCGGAGGCTCCCGTGTCTCGGCTCCGGGCAGAGGCGAAGGAGGCAGCGGCCGCAGCCAGGCAAGCGGGCGGGGGCGGCCGGGCCGGAGCTCGGCCCACCCGAATCCCGGGACCCCCGCCCGCGCCCACTCCGAGGGCAGGGGGGATTCGCTGTAGGGTGAATCCGGGGAGGGCAGGGGGTATATACAACCCCCATGCCGAGAGCGGACCGGATCCGGGATTTGCACAGAACAAAGGACCATGGAGGGTGTGTATGGAAAAGTACCGGCGGGAGGGGAGCGTTCATCGTCTGCAAACTGGGCTGGGGGCGACGGTGCGTGGTGCGAGGGCTGGGTGTGCCAGGGCAGCACTGCCCCCCTCCCCGGGCTGAGGGCTGCTCAGGGCTGGGGGCTCTGCTGGGAGCAGGGATTGCAGCCATCCCCACGTCTGAGGGGTTTCTGCCCCCCCAGTCACCCTACTTCAGGTTTAATGGTACAGAAGGGCTGCGGGATTTGGGGATTTGCATCTGGGTCAGGGGATGCAGAGTGCCCGGAGTGTAGCAGGAAGGGGTGAATGTGTAGGTAGGCATGGAGGTCTCATGCAGGGCATTTGTGGTGCTGTATGAGGTGGGCTTCGGGGTGTTGTGCTTGTAAAGGAGGGCCTGGGAGTGGTTGGGGAGCAGATGGGGGATCTGTGGGGCTGGCATTTGCCACTCTGTGCTGGTGGCAGAAATGCCGCCTGTCCTTGCCCACACGATCCGCACACTGCTGTGCCAGCCACCTCAGGGCCCCACACCCCAGTGCCCTGGCCATGAAGCAGGACATGGGGGGACTCCGGGCAGCTGCGCTGCGCAGGCACCGAGGCTCGGGGACCTGCAGGAGGGCAGCGCTTCCCCTTACGATGGCTGCGTGACCGGGTCTTGCAAGGGGAGATATTTATAGCACTGCTCCACTAGCCCGAGGTTTGCACGGCCTGGAACGGGGCTGGCAGCTGCTGCCCCCATCCAGAAGCCTCTGGATGCAGCCGAGCCGTTTCCCCGGCGGGGCCGGGGTGGGTGGGAGCCCGCAGGGATGAACGGGCTGCATGGAATATGCTGGGGCTCACTGCCAGGTTACAGGCTCCTGCATGCTCTGCTGCCTGCAATGCTGCCTGCAGTGCTGCCTGCAATGCTGCCTACATGCTGGGTGCTGCAGAGGCCCCACAGGGAGGGTGCAGGGAGCAGCTTTTGCTTCAGCTTGGGCCAGCCAGGCTCTGGCAGAGGAATACACCACTGTGCAAGGATGGGGACAAGAGGGAGAGTTCATGTTTCGACTGTGCTGTGAGACACAGATTGGCCAGAGCTATTGCAGGGGAAGGTGAGGAGGCAGGTGGGACTGCATACCTAGGAGTGTTTTCCACATGCTTTGTCCCTGTGATTCCAGCCACCATGTGTTCCCAGACCCCAGCAAAGGGAAATGAGAGGTCAAGGAACTGCTCCGACTCAATCCATGCTGCTCTATACCCTGTGCCTTCTCTTGGGTCCTGCTGGGGCCAGCAGCACGTGGTGACGGCCAGTGCTGGAACCATGTTCCCTCTTTGTGTCAGATGGTCTCACAGACGTGGTCCTCTCCTGACCAGACATCTGCTCTGCTGATGTCTCCAGGCTCTTGCTTCCCTGGCACAAAGCCTCTCAGTATGTGGGGACGCCTCTGTGCGTGCCCCGGCTCCTCTCCCAGTCCCCTGATCCTCACAGTTTGCACGTGCCATCCAGATGCCATTGCTGTGCTGCTGTCACCACCCCATTCCAGACCCCTCATCTTTTTTACCCCCTCCACCCAGAAATGCCAGCACCAGCCCAGCAGCTGTGTTGTGCCCTCCTGCCATGCTCACAGGGTGCATGGCATCTGCTCACTGTTGGGTGGGGGGAAGGAGTGGGGCAGGGAGATCAGGGCAAGGGATAAAGCCAGGACTATTTTTATACTGCAAAGTAATTACCAGAGCTTTCCAATCCTTAATCTGCTGAGAGCACCCTGGTGCGATTGGATCCTTCCCCAAGCCTGGCAACAATTCCCCCATCACACATCTCCTGCGTCAAAGCCCCGTAAACTCCCACACTTGGGCTCACACTGGGATACATGTGCTGCAGAGCTGCCAGCTCGTCTGCCCCCCACTTCTAGCAGCCCCTGGCCCTGGAACAGGCATGGGGACCCTGCCTGGGACCCTGGTTTACAGCCAGGAGGATCTCACCACTGAGCCAGTGGAGTAGGATGCAGCCTTGGCCACCTGGCTCAGCTGCTGGCTACATTTGGGTCCCAGCACTGTGAACACACTAAATCCATGTTTTCCCCATCAGCTGCCTCCCAAGAGGTTTTGGTTGAGATTAGGGGCCTACACAGCACCCTCCAGCACCCATCCAGCTTGGCTTCCCGCTGGCACAGACGGGGTTTGGGGTGCGTCTTTCCCGACGGTGCACAGGGAGGTTCTGGGTGGCAGCGCCAAGTCTCGGCTGGCTCCTTTCCCGGCCTCTCCCTGTCCTGTCCCCATGCCAGGGTGTTGCTGAAGAACCTGTTCCATAGCTCCTGCCACGGAGGAGGAAATGACGGGTGTTGTTTGCGGGAGCACTTTTCATCCCGGGGCTGGGGGACTGCTTTGCCTCTGTCTCTGTGCAGCTGGCTCCAGGTTAGAGCATGGAATCTCGACTGCCCAGGGATGGAGGTGAGGACTCATCTTCCTCCACCCACTCTGTACTGTGTACCAGCTCTCTGCCACCGCACCCCAAAGTCTGACTAGGCTGTTCAGCCCTGTTCCATGACAGGGAAAGGGGCTTTTTGTGCTACAATTCTTCCGCTGGGGAGTTTGCAACACTCTTGCCAAGTATTTGGGACTAGCCCTCGATCCATCCTGCACGGCAGCAGGCACAAAGTAAACTCGGAAGTGTACAGGATGCTGTGCCCCCACAAACGCTGCTGTTCTGGAGAAGGACCCGGTGCCAGGGATAGCCTGGGTGAGCCGCCTTCAGGGCATCCCCAGGTGACCCGCCAGTGTCCCTTCCCCCTGCCTGGCAAGGACCCGGCGCCCTGCCTGCGGCAATGGCCATAAAAGGCCCTGAAATGGAGAAGATGGGCGGGGGTGGGGGCGGGCTCCTTCTCCAGCCTGAATGGGATCTTCCCGTCTGCCCACGCAGGTCAGGCTTGCCAGGAAGTGGGAATGGGAGGCTGGATGGAGGAGAGCAGCCCTAGCAGCCTGGAGCGGGTTCAGGAGGCTGGGGCGCACCGTGCTCCCCTCCACCGCCCCCTGCTTCCCTAGGGGCCACGTTTGGACCATGGTCTGGGATTCCAGGGATCTGCATTGTCTCCCACGAAGGGCCCAGGGGGATAAAGCTGCCTTTTCATCGGCACCTGAGCTGTGGAGCAGTGGGGGCTGGGGGGCGAGGGGCACTCAGCGGGCTCCATGCGGCCCCCCACTGCCTCTCCCCAGACAATGGCCACCCTTTGTTGGGGTTTTATGCATCCGGCCCCCTTCCCCGTGGCCCAGCTGGTGACATTTTACCACCTCCACATTCCCATGGGGATTCAAAGGGCACAGATGCACCGTGAAACCACAAAGCACAGCCTCCCCCCTCAGCTCTCTCCCTCCCCTGTGCCTCAGCATCCCCAGGGAAGCAGAGCTGGGATGCGCAGAGGAGATGCTCACACTGGGAACCTTCCTTTGGAGCTATTTCAAGGGTGACCTGCCAGCTCTTGGGAGTTCCCTCCATCTCCCTGCCCTTCTCTTGTCATCAGCTCTCCATTCCTTTGTGACTTTTGAGTCACATCCCTGTCCCAAGAGGGCTTGGCATGCCAGATCCCCACTGATGGGAGATGAAGGGCGGCAGCGTGGGCACCATTTCCAGGCTGGTGACACTTGACCTTTTGGAGCTGGAGCCCTGTGGGTGGTACCCACCCCTGCCCTGCAGGCACTCGGCTGCCAGGGCAATGCCAGGCTGGGCTGGTGGTGGCAGACCCAGCATTGCCCTGGGCTGCTGGGTGTAGCCAGTTTGTGGGTGTAGCCAGGCTGTGGGATACACAGTGGCCTCTGTCTCTTCAAGAGAAGTCCCAGCATGCAGGCGTCCAGCCCCTGCCCCTTCCCTCCTGCTCCCAGACTTCTGGGGGCTTTCCCTCAAGGATCTGGGCAAATAGCCCAGTTCCTCCCAACCAGTCGTTGCCTCCGCAGGGACCCTGGGAAAACAGCCTGTAAACAGGCAGATGGAGAGCGTGAGTCACGGTGACCGAGAGGGAAATAAATGCAGGAGGGGAATTTGCAGCATGCACTGGGTCATGGGGATAAATCCAGCCTCTCCCAGTGATGGTGAGTGGCTGGCACGTAGGTGCTCTCCTGTGGAGCCAGCTGTCCCAGAAAGGAGCGTTTATCCCACTGATGGGAATGCGTTCAGACAAACTGAAAAACAGATCCAGTCTTCTTCCACCACCAAGAGCATCCCCTGATCCTTGCCACTTTTATCCCACGGGATGAGCAGTCGCTGCCCTGGAGGCAGCAGCATTTCAGCGCACAGCACCCTGCCCGTAGAGCCATGCAGATCATTTCCCCGCTGAAAGTCACCCTGCCGTGGTTATTTTTGGCTGCCGGCGGGGCCGGAGGAACTGGCTCCCTCCCAGTTGCTGCAGCGCATCCCGTTTGGAATTGCATCTTGCGCGGTGGCAGCGCTGGGGTGAGCAGGCTGCCTCCGGCGTCCCGCTGCCAAGGACCTGCAGCTGCCTCGCCCTGCGCAAAGCAAGAGTGCAATCTAGTGGCTAATCCCGCTGGGGACACCCCTGACGCTGGGGATTAACTTCTGCAAAGGCCTCCGGTGGCACCGGGCGCCTCTCTGAGCGTCACCTCACCATCCCAGCTCGGGGACTGGTCGCCCAGGGTGGTGAGAGGTTTATCGAGGGTCCAAAAGCGCCGAGTCCTTTTCCCTGGCCTCACTTGAGGCTGGAAAAGCTTCCAGTCCAGGGCTGGGAGCCACGGCAGAGTGAGTGCAGGGCCTGGGAGTGAGTTTGCCGAGGTGAGAGGTGCCCTCAGTGGCTGGGGGAGAAGGATGCAGCTCCCGGGGATGAAAGGTGCACCTGGCTTTGCCGGGGGGCAGGAAGCAGCTCTCTCCAGGTGCTGAGCCCAGGACATGCGCTCACCCGCTCCAGCCCGGGAGCCCCATTTACAATACCCAGCCCAAAGCTTTCCGTGCTTCTCCATCAGGAGCCGCTCTCGCCGTGCCCCCAGCAGTGCCTCAGCTCCGTCCCCTGCCCGGCGTGGGGGGGACCCGGGGCAGGGCTGGTGTTCCCGGGCGGGGTTGAGGCTCTGCAGGGCAATGCTGAGAGTTTTGGGGGGCGAGGGGAGTACGTTCCCTCTTTTTGCCCCCCGAGACCCCCGCGAGGTCCGGCTGGGGCTCATTTCCCCTCTACTCCCCCCCACGCCGCTGGTTGCACTGGGGGTGACGTCCCTAAAATATGCTGATTTATTCGCATTAACCCTTTTCCCGCGGGGCTTGTGGGATCTCGGGGAGGGTGGGGCAGTGGGGCGGGCGGACCCCTTCGCTGCCCCGGCCCCTCCGGCCCGGGATCCCCCCGCGAACGGCCCCTGCCCCCCTCCCGGCCCCGCGGGTTGCCGTGGGAACCGCACCGGGTTTCTGATGTCACCGGGGCTGTTGCTACGCGACCGGTCCGCTCGCCCATCCCCGTGTGAGGTCACTGTCGCTATGGCGACGGCGGGGGGATGCGGGGCCTCCCCCGGGGCCGGGGGCGGTCCCGGGGCCGGAGCTCCCCCCGAACCCCCGGGCGGGAGGCGGGCACGAAGGCGGCGAGGGTGGTGTCCTCCCAGGGGAGCGGCTAAAGCTTCGTATTAAAAGAGTGAAAAAAGGAAAATAAAGT